CCCCAAAACCCCAAAACCCCAAAACCCCAAAACCCCTAAAAATGACACAAAGATTGAAAATAACTATCCATATCTTTATGCAATTGTAAAATAAGGCATGAACTTTCCTCCCATGCCAAATCCTACACAGTCGTTGGCCAGAAGTTCAGAGTCTACTTCGTAATCCATGTTTGCTGCAAAGTAAGCGACGATAAGTTTAGCTTGCATTATTCCGAAAGATTGACCTGGACACTTTCTGGGTCCCATTCCGAACTCTCTCTTAGAGTAGGGTTCTGGTGAAACTCCGCTCTTGACCGATTCTTGGTAGAACTCAGACTCCGGGTTGAACCTGTCTGGGATGAACTCCATTGGTCTCAAGTAACTCTTCTCGTTGAAGTGGCCTGACAAGTAGTCGTGCTTCATAATGGTTCCTTTTGGAATCGGAACGTCGCACAAAGTGATGTCTTCTTTGGCTGTGTAGAAGTAGCCTTGAGGAAATGGAGGATCGAACCTCAGAGCTTCTTTGACCACACAGCTCAAGTACTCGAGTTCATTGAGTTTGTCGATAGTGAGGACCTTGTTGAAGTCTGCACCTTTGTGGATCCCATGATCATTAAGTTCTTTCTTAAGCTTTGCGTACGAGTCTGGGAACTTCTTTAAGAAGTAGAATACTGATACCAAGGAGTGGGATCCAGTCTCTCCTCCAGCAAACAGATACAGCTGAAGATCTGCGATGATTTCGTCTTCAGTGTAATCTTCTTTGGTCTTGAGCTGTGACCAGATTGACTGGTCATCTTTGGAGTGAGCGAGCATGTCTTTAAGAGCTCTAGTGTAAGTCTGGAAATTCCTTTGGTTCCGCTTGTAAGGATTGATCAAATTCAAATCACTGATGATGGGCATGAGGCCAGTGATTGGGTTTACAAATTCTTCTAAGAAAGCACGACCCATTCTCGGGAAGTACTCTAAAATCTCAACTTCTTCGATTTGTCCTTCCTCGTTTTCGTAGGGATATTTCTTGTTCATTATTAACTTGACGTCTCTTCCGAACAAAATGCAAGAAAAGATATAAAAAGTGAGAGCGACCATTCCATCCAGAAACTGGACCCTCCCTTTGGCTTTCATCTGCTGGAGGAACTTCTCGGAGCAGCCAAGCATCTCTGGAATGTACTTGGAAGCAGAATTCAGGCCCAGAAGATTGGACAAGTGCTTCCTGCGTTTGATAGTTTTGGAATTAGTCTTTTCTTGTGCGAGAGAACCCACTTCCAACTTCAGCGACCCCTTGATCCATCTGAGTTTGTCAATCTTTGTGGGAGACAAATTGATGTATTCTTTGAGGGCTCTGTCCGAGATCAGGTTCAGGATCGGAACTTTGCCTTCGATGTCTACTTTCATGTCATAGTTGTTTCTGAGTTTGGCTTCTTCTCTGACGTGTTGGTAGTAAATCCTGTTGGTTGACTCGTCTTTGAGAGCCTGATGGTAGTCTCCGAGAAACAGCATGAACGATGGCCTGACAAAGACATTGGGATATTTCCCGAATTTACGTCTGAACAGAATTGGTATTACAACAGCATCATATAGAAAGAAAATTACAGCAACAATGAAGAACCACATTATCAGTCTGAGGCATAGCCAGAAAGCCCACATTTCCATAATTGATTTCAATTAGATTTCCTAAGATTGGGGTTTTGGGGTTTTGGGGTTTTGGGGTTTTGGGG